TGCACCCTGGTCAGACTCCCAGGGGGTGGGGGCCTTAGTAGACTGTCTCCCAGGCTTGGTTGAGCCTTGCTGGGTGATGTAATCTTCCCAGGTGGTGAGATGGGTAGAGGGCTAATCCTATCATGTCGTGAGGGCCATGTCTTTTGTGTTGCAGATGAGCTGGCTCAGGCCTTAATGGCCCATTGACAAATGTAATGGGGGGGGGGAATGAGTTTCTGCCTCCCTTTTAGGGAAAATATTCTGCCCTTTTAATATTTCCTAAAATATCTCATTTTCTAGGAGAGGGGTGGATGCTAATTCCCAACAGTAGTCTGCCGTTTCCTTGCCAAGATTTCAAAAGCGGGTTGCCATGGTCTGCCTTTTTTTAGGGCTGAGGGCTCGTGACTGGCCTCAGGTCACCCAGCTGGCTTTGTGCCTCAGGCAGGACTAGAATCCGCAGTCTCCTGGTTTCTAGCCTGTTTCATTAACCACTCCACCAGATTGGTTCTCAGCAACTGGGATAGAGGGGCAGAATTCTCCTTCCCTATATTGCAATCGCAAGCGCGGTTATTTCCTGGTGTAAGGTAAATTCCAAGGACAGAGGGCTCATCGGGACATCTGGACGACATCCCCAGCTTCAAAGAAACTGAGAAAATATATGAGGGAAGCTGCAACTAGCCCTGGCAATAGTGAGACCGATTGGGTTTAATTAAAGCACTTAATCCCAGCATCCGTCTTTGCAATGGCAACCAAGGTGGCCTTGAGGCTGCAGAAATGAATTGGGGGGGGGGGAGAAAAGTTGGTCACCTTCCTAAAGGAACATTTTGAACCAGGATGGCAAACCCATGGGACGTGTGCCAGAGGTGGCATGCAGAGCCCTCTCTGTAGGCACACACCACCACGCCATCGCCAGCTGCTCTTCTGGTTTCCGGTGTGCGCATGCACGGTGGCCAGCTGATTTTCGTGTGTGCTGCAGCCCTGGAAACTCAAAGACCAGCTGGCCAGCATGCACATGGGTTGGGTTTTCTGGGCTCCAGCACGCCCAAAAGCCAGGTGGCCAGTGCGCATGCACGTCATCCCAAAACCAAAGACTAAGCGGCCAGTGCGCACATGCACACCAACTAGCTAGTCTTGGGCTTTTTGGTGCTCCAGCAAAGATCAGCTGGCCAGCATGCCTGTACATTCCGGATTGGGCACTTGGTGCCGAAAAGGTTGGCCATCACTGATTTAGAACATTTAACTGGAAGGACCCAGTGTGCTGTGGATAAAAGCAGAATGCCCATATCTGTTTCTTCTATGCTGCAAAAGGTGTGTGTGTAGACCAGGGGTGGGTTCCTGCCAGTTCTAACCTCTTCTATAGAAGAGGTTCCACAAATCTACCATGCCGTTTAGAACAGGTTCCAGCTCCCTCCCCCTGTCCGTCCGCACCACACCTGCCCCGCCTGCCACTCACTGATTGGCTGGCTCACCAATCACCCCGCCTCTAAGAGTCCTATCTAAACTTTAAAGTCTTAAAGCTGTCAAGTTTGAACACTCCTGTTTTTTTTTCTAAAGGGTTAGGGGTGCAAGGGTCTTGTAACTTGACAGCTTTAAGACTTCCGTGCTTCAAATGCCAGAGTTTCTGAGCCAACATTTTAGTTGCTAAGCAAGAGCGTTGTTAAATGAGTTTCACCACATTTTACAAGTTGGCCACGCCCACCCAGTCACATAGCTGGCAAGCCATTCCCACTCAGTCTCATGGTTGGCAAGCCACTCCCATGCGGTCACATGCTTGGCAAGCCACTCCCACAAAGCAGGCCACACCTACAGAAGAGGTTCTAAAAAAATTTGAAACCCACCACTGGTGCAGACTCTAATTTGGATTGACATTTAAAAAAATATGCAAATGACCAGTTGTCTGCAAGGAGTATAAATCCTTCATTCCCCGCCATCCAGTCAGAGCTGAAGAAGTTTCTTGGATGCGAAGCGAAACGTTTTCAAAGAAAAACCAAAAAAATCCAGTTGCCTCTTGGGGAAAAAAAAGCACCTTCAGGACAACCACAACCTGGATGACTGAGAATCTCTACAGACTTTTAGCTATGCAATTTGGGATGAAGACCCTTGGGATGGTGTGGGAGCAGGAATGGATTTCCAGAGATAACAATTGCAGACTACAGGAACCATTAGCGCTACTCAGGTGACCCTGAGGACACAGATAAACCTGCAAGGGCTTCAAGGACCCTCTAAAAGGATGCAAATGACCAGCTGTCTGCAAGGAGTATAAATCCTTCCATCCCCCACCATCCAGTCGGAGCTGAAGAAGATTCTTGGATGAGATGCAAAATGTCTTCAAAGAAAAACCAGAAAGTCCAGTTGCCTCTTGGGGTGGGGGGGTGGGGGGGGAAGGAAGCATCTTTGGGACAACCATGACCTGGATGACTGAGAATCTCCACAAAGTGGAGCCTTCGTTTTTAATTTTCCCATTCAGCATTTTGCACACAAGGTGGCAGTGAAAGGCAACCCAATTCTTCCATTAGGTGCTTTAGAGGAAAGGAAAGATTTGTGTGTGTGCGTGCAGGCATATGTGTGTGTGTGTGTGTAGGAGGGGGGGAAATTTGCTGAAAGGTGAGTTTCTCACTCATCACTTTATGGCAGGGCCATTAGCCGTGCTCATGCTGAGCTGGCCTCAGCGCCTAGCAATTGAGATCTTCCTTTTAAAGCAGGATAAGTAATCTTCTACCTGCTTTTATCCTTCCCTGGGCTTTTAGTTCAGCCTCCGAATCTCTCTACCATTTTGCCAGTCCAGAGATGCGGCATTAAGGGGCAACCCGCTCAGCTGAGGACTCTCCCTGTTGTGTTAGTTGTGCAAGTTGTTTTAAAAGGAAACCCTCGGGGGTGAAAAAAATGACACTCAACATGATACAAATTCATTTCTTAGAGATGTAGGAAGTTAGCACCCAGCCCTCTCCTAGAAAAATGAAATATTCCAGGAAATAGGCAGATTGTTATATTTCCCTGGATGAGAAATGGAGAAACATGATTTTAGGCAGGAAAACAGACTCACTCTTCATAGCCCCCACCATCCTCAATAATAGCCCACAGCAGTTATCCACACTTAAGAGATAAAGAGATAGCTAGGTCAAGGGTAAAGATTCCTCTCGGACATATGTGCTAGTTGTTCCATTCCCGAATCTAGGAATCTAGGGATCGGTGCTCATCTCTGGTGCTCATCTCCGTTTCAAAGCCGAAAAGCCAGTGCTGTCTGAAGACGTCTCCATGGTCATGTGGCTGGCATGACTAAATGCCAAAGGCACACGGAACGCTGTTACCTTCCCAGCAAAGGTGGCTCCTATTTTGCTACTTGCATTTATACAAGTTTTTGAACTGCTAGGTTGGCAGAAGCTGGGACAAGTAATGGGAGCTCATTCTGTTACGTGGCACTAGGGATTTGAACCGCCGAACTGCCGACCTTTCTGATTGACTAGCTCAGTGTTTTAGCCACTGAGGTACCACATCTCTAGCTAGGCCTATTCATAGGCAAATGCCCTCACCCAAGATCCAACAAAGGTGGGATTAGTGTTCTACCCATCTCACCCCATGGCACCTGGAAAGGTTACATCACCCAGCAAGAGTCAACCAAGCCTGGAGCTCAGGACAGCCTACAGAGTTGCCCCTGCATGGCCCCATGGGAGTCTGACAACCAATCAGAATACAAGCTCAAATTCAAAATCCCAGAGAGGGTGTAAAACTCAGCATCTCTTCCCTTTTTTCTTTTTCACACAAGATCTTCAAGGCATGTGATCCTGCCCACCATTAAAACCGCCTTTCCAAACAGCTACCATGTTTCCAGTGTCTTAGAACTGAACCCAGAAGGATATTTCTTCCAAAAGCGACGAACGTTAATATCTTCAGGTTCACTTTGGACCGGTGCTTACTCTTTGAATCTGCACCTTTTAAAAATCTTTCCTGAGGTTCCTATGGATGACCAACGCAATGTTTCTGTACATAAAAAGACGAGCACGCACAATCTCCATAAATATTGCATTTTATTTGAAAAAGCCTCTTGTTTTCTCCCAACCCCTCTTGCTTTCACTGTCGGTTTGTAGCAAAGGATCTTTCCGTTTCTTGAAAAGGCCTAAAGGACAGGTGCTTTGAAGGATCCATTCTTTAAATAAGCAGGCAATTTGAGAGAAGCGCAACTGAAGCTGAACTTCCGTTCGGTTTCACAACAACCTGCTGGGTTCGTGGCCTGCAATTCGGGTCTTTTCCTGTGTAAGATTGAGATTGTCTTGGCAACGTTTCGGCAAGGTCTCACTCGCCATCTTCAGGCAGGAGTTTTGGGCTTAAAGCGTGGTCAGAGCTGCCATCTTTCTATAAATCTTGGTGGGGGTGTGTGGAGTGCTGGTATTGTTTCAGTAAGTGGATTGATTGGCTGTATGGCTGCATCATGATTGGTAGATTGGTGCTGATTGGTGCTGGCTGTGGGTCCATTGTTGTTTTATGTTGTAACGGACTGGGTGGTGGGTGGGGCTCATTTGTTAACCAGGGCTGGTTTCCAGATGTCTGGCAGGTGGGAGGCATCATCACATTTATTCATGTTGTGGGGGGTGTTTCTCTATTTTGATAGCTTCCGTAATTATTCTCTTGTTGAAGTGTTCAGTTTTGGAGATTAATTTGGTTCCTTCAAAATTAAAGCTTTAAGCCGAAAACACCAGCCTGAAGATGGCGAGTGAGACCTTGCCGAAACATTGCCAAGACAATCTCAATCTTAAACGGGAAAAGACCTGAATACAACAAGACCAGCATACCTACACCCGTAAAAATCTACGAATATATATATAGTCTGTGAATGCATGAACTGTGTTTATTGTTCTGTTGCAGTGGTGGGATTCAATTTTTTTTTACTACTGGTTCTGTGGGTGTGGCATGACTTGCTGGGTGTGGCAGGGGAAGGATACTGCAAAATCCCCATTCCCTCCCAACCAGCTGGGACTCAGGAGGCAGAGAATAGATGGGGGCAGGGCCAGCCAGAGGTGGTATTTACCAATTCTCTGAACTACTCAAAATGTCTGCTACCGGTTCTCCAGAACTGGTCAGAACCTGCTGAATTCCACCCCTGTTCTGTTGTAGTGCTGCTTACAACACTTCTTTTTCAGGAAAGAAATTTAAAAAAAAAGATCAGAGAAAAAAAGATTTCAAGGGTTAAAGTAAATTCATAAGAAATGAAAGTCAGGACTTGATCTGTCCTATCGAGAAAGAGATAAAAGGCTTTTTGTGGGCTTAGGATAAGAATAATTACAATGAAGAGAGAGACTCTAAAGAAAAAAAAGTCCAGTCGGTTGAAGAGATTCTTAATCTGAGTTACATACATCCACAGTCCAGCAAATGACATTTCCTGCAGCCCTAAGTTTGGTCTTGTGGATATGCATTTACACCGTATACATTACCACTTCTGCATAGAGGAGCCATATATCCAAGCCAAGCACCATGGGCTTGGGAACAGGGTGCCGAGGTGCAGATGTTTGAATTATCTCCTTCAGAAGTTCCATCAGCTGGAAAGAGAATGTCTTGGCTTCCAAACATGGCCAAACAGGCCTCTTCTCCAAATGAAACTTCCAGCCAAAACGATGTACGTCAAAACACCTCCCTGGAGATCAGCCTTTAGATCCTAATGCGATGGAGCAAAGGAAAGTAAAGGAAGGGGGGGAAAAGACTTCACCAGGCCAGAATACAAGGGGGAACCTTAATCTAGATCAGTGTTTCTCAACCTTGGCAACTTGAAGATGTCCGGACTTCAACTCCCAGAATTCCCCAGCCAGCGAATGCTGGCTGGGGAATTCTGGGAGTTGAAGTCCAGACATCTTCAAGTTGCCAAGGTTGAGAAACACTGAACTAGTTAGTTTACATGACCACTTTTGCTAGAAATAGGAGCTGTATCTGCAAAACAGAGAAAGCAAAACTTGCCACTTGCAATAATTGGAACAGAAGAAGTGTGCTTTCCCCAAATGTCCATTTTTCACTATTCATCTCTTTATGTGCTGAAAAGGCACCGTGTTTCCCCCAAAAATAAGACAGCCTTGGAAACTCCCACAAGCTTTAATTCAAAAGTCAAGATCACAAGTCTTCACTCAAGATGGCAAACAGCACTCAATTAACCTCTCCCCCTCCAATCCTTCCCACTGGAAACCCCCCACCCCGCCCCCAAGAAAGCTTCAACAGCACAAAATCACACAGCAACCCAAAAGAGACCCAGCATGAAGGCCCTCAACTGGTTGGATAAAGAGCAGCCAGCTGCGGGCACCTCCCCATATCCATTCACCGCAGAGCCTGCAAGTTTTGGGACTGAGAACAGAGGTGGGACATACTTTGAACTGCTCTATAATCTCTCCAGAGAACTTTAGCTGTTGGGAAGGATTAAAAAGATGAATTCATTAAGCAAGAAGCCGAAAAGAAAGAAACCTTTTAAAAAAATATTTTTTAAACGGCCAGTTCTTGCAATTGGTACTTCCGACAAACGGAGGAGGAGAAAGAATTGGCTGCGTCTTGTTGGTATTCTGAAGTCAAACTCGCGGCTTACTTTTTAAGCTGGTCTGCTGTCTCATCGGCGCCTGGTTTCAGATCTGGCATTTTTTTTAGAAACCCAAATGGCTTACTAAAGAATCCAGCTGCTGCCAGGGATGGTTTTTAAAGTGGATGCTTATCTCTCAAGAACCCTAGTGGTAATTTCTCCGTTTGAGTAGCAGTTCCAATCAACTGTACAATTCTTGTTATTGAGAAGGAAAGGACCACTTCCAAATCTGGATGATTTCAAGAAGGAAGGGAGGATCGATGCTGAAGTCTGTAAGAATTCACTCCAGGAAAGCTTCGATAGGAACATTTGTCTGCATCACGTTGGGCGCTTCCGAACATGCCCTAAAAGTAGTACTAAAGCTGTTGTGGCCCACCAGTGGCCAGCAGAGCTGGCAGCAGATTCGGACAGCGAGGAGGTTGGGGAGGAACATGGGCCAGTCCTGGAGTCTAGGGAAGGCTCTGATGAGAGCTCTGTGTCAGAGGCAGAGAGGGGGCCAGGGCCATATGCCAGTTATCAGCTGCCTTCAGAGTCCGACAACAGTGAGGCAGACGAACAGCTGGAGCCTGTTCCCAGTGTGCGCATACGCAGAGTTGCCAGACAAAGGGAACAGCTAAAGAACAGGGGTCAACTTGGGAGTAAGGCCACAGGTGGACGATGAATGTCATCAACATTTTCTTGCGGACCACCAGTGGTCCACAGACCACCAATTGGTGACCGCTGCAATATACCACTTGGAGTTCTAACTCCCCGATTTCAGCACAATAAGAAAAAAAGATCTGTCTGGGAACAGAATGCGCAGTGGTACCTTGCTAGTCTCAGAGTTTAGCTAGTCTTCAAACATTCAACAAATATTCTTGATGTCCTCCTAAGTGGCAGATGAAGCAGCATAGAAGTTCTGCTCCCCAGGTCAGTGTTATTTATTTCTTATTTCGCCATTTGTTTCCTCTTTGGAGGCCGGGCGGCAGGCAGTGGCTGCTCCATTCACTGATCAATTCACCTTTTCCCTGTGATGTTTGGGAGCCAAAAGGTCAGCTTCTTAATAGGTTGTGCTCCTCTCAAATCATGAGCCCTACATTCAGGCCAAATAGGTTACAGAGGCCGACTCTGGTCGCCTCTGAACAGTTCTCCCTCACTCTTGATTTTGGGCAATTTCATTTCTAAAGACAACAGAACAAGATGATTGTGTGTTTTTACACACATACACAAATCGATCAAACAATGTACTGGGTTTGGTTCAAAGTTGTCCATGCACTTCTTCACACAGAGCAAGAGAGAACAATTAAAGGAGATTCTCCAAAGATAAATTCTTGCATCAGAAGGAAAGAATGTTTTGCTACCTGCATTATCCCATATCTCTGAAAACAAAAGATTGAACAGCTTGAGGAAATCAGCCTATTCTCTCTCGTAGGACATGGTATTTTTCTATATGCCCATCGTCCAGGAAATGCGCCGTCATTGTATATTCAATGTATTCAAGCGGCCCTACAGTCTTCATGATTCTGAAGGATAAGTCTAAATTGGGGGTTGGCAACCTGTAGCTCTAGAGCCGCATGTGGCTCTTTCATCCCTCTGCTGCTGCTCCCTGGCACTGCTCTGTGCCACAATTTTGAGAGGAGCTTCTGGTTAGGGGGGGGGAGGGAAGCACGGTGCGCCAGGAGGAGAATCTATGGCAAGGGGTGGGTTTTCCGGTCAGCACCACAATTGATAGGGCTTTCAGTTAGGACAGGTAGAGGAAAAAGGACGCTGTGCTAGGAGGAGACTCTATGATGGGGGAACCAGACTTCCGGTCAGCTCCAGAATTGAATGGGGGGGGGGGGCTTCCGGTTAGGACCTTTGTGGCTCTTTGAGTGTTTAAGGTTGCTGACCGCTGGTCTAAATAGTGGAATAATCTATGAAAAGAGTGAATAGGTTTTGTTGGTTCTGGCGGCAGCCCTTAACTTCCTTGGTGGTTCACACACAAACACACACACACTTCTACACCTACTGCTGGTTCTCCTCTCTGATAAGCATGGGGGGAAAAGTGGGGAAAAGTGAACATGTTATGATATGACATATTTCTGATATAATACAAAGACCCCCAAAACCAATATCCCTTTAATGCCACCTCTCTATCCTTACAGGTAGTCCTTGACTTACAACTATAATTGAGCCCCATATTTCCACTGCTAAGTTAAGTGCATCTTGCCCCATTTTATGGCCTTTCTTGCCATGGTTGTTAAATGAATCACTGAGTTGTTAAGTGGGTAAGCGGGTTGTTAAGCGAATCTGGCTTCCCCATTGACTTTCCTTGTCAGAAGGTTGCAAAATGTGATCACATGACCCCAGGACACTGCAACCGTCATAAAAATGAGTTGGTTGTTAAGCATCCATACTTGTTCATGTGTCCATAAGGATGCTGCAACCATAGTAAGTATGATGTAAGTGACGTAACTTCAGACAGTCCCTAAACAAATGGTTGTAAGTCAAGGATTTCCTGCATTTTCTAAGCAAGTAAGAACATAAGTTGATCTCAATTCAATAAACAAAGAGATAACTTTTTCCATAGCTATAATCACTGCAGCAACAGGGAGATGATCAATTTTTTCTTTTAGGGTCAATATAAAGGAGTCAAGACAGGAGAAGACATTGAAATAACAGATTTGAGTTACTCTGTTATTTTGAAAAGAGTAAGTTAAATTCCAGAGGGTAAAAGGAGACAGAGAGTGGAGAACTATAAGTTTCCCTTATCTGTGAAAGGAGAAAAAGAGCTCTTAAGTGGTCACATTTTAGGAAATACAGAATAGCAGAGTTGGAAGGGACCTTGGAGGTCTTCTAGTCCAACCCCCTACTTAGGCAGGAAACCCTACACCACTTCAGACAAATGGTTATCCAATCTCTTCTTTAAAACTTCCAATGTTGGATCATTTACAACTTCTGGAGGCAAGTTGTTCCACTGATTAATTGTTCTGTCAGGAAATTTTTCCTTAGATCTAAATTGCTTCTCTCCTTGATTAGTTTCCACCCATTGCTTCTTGTCCTGCCCTCAGGTGCTTTGGAGAAAAGTTTGACTCCCTCTTCTTTGTGGCAGCCTCTCAAATATTGGAACACTGCTATCATGTCTTCCCTAGTCCTTCTTTTCCTCAAACTAGACATAACCAGTTCCTGCAACCGTTCCTCATATGTTTTGGCCTCCAGTCCCCTAATCATCTTGGTTGCTCTTCTCTGTACTCTTTCTAGAATCTCCACATCTTTTTTACATCATGGTGACCAAAACTGGATGCAGTGTTCCAGGTTTGGCCTTACCAAGGCATTATAAAGTGGTATTAACAGGGAAGATTGTTAGAATTATCCCCCCTCCTTCATTTTATAGTTTAAGGATTAATATTCAATTTGTGAAATATTTGCCCTGTGTAGGGTTTGAACAACAGGACAAACACCCTTTCTCTTGGAATATGAACAATCTCGAGTCACACCTTAAGACATTTCTAACGTTCCAGAAATGATTGGACTTCAGTATCCATCATGGCTGCCCATGGTTAATCCAACAGAATCCAACCACGAACTCTGGAGAGAAACCTTCCCTTATTGCTGGATTGCCTTATCTACTGCGAAGGGCGTGACCCGTCAAAACCGCGGAGGACAAAATCGCGCTCGACGAAAGCGCGCATTTGACGTCATCACAGCGCGACGAAAAAAATAAAAAATTGAAATAAAAATAAAATTAAAGCAAGCCGATTCACATAAAAGTAAGGGTTAGGTTTAGGGTTAGGGTTAGGGTTAGGTTAAGGGTTAGGGTTAGGTTTAGAGCGTTAGGGTTACGTTTAGCGTTAGGTTAAGGGTCAGCGTTAGGTTTAGCGTTAGGTTAAGGGTTACGTTTAGGGTTAGATTTAGGGTTAGGTTAAGGGTTAGGTTTAGGGTTAGGTTTAGGGTTAGGTTTGGGGGGTTTAGGGTAAGGTTTTTGCTTTATTTTTACATTTTTCGATCACAGCGCGATGTTTTCGTCACGCTGTGATGACGTCAAATGCGCGCTTTCGTCGAGCGCGATTTTGTCCTCCGCGATTTTGTGGTGGAACCGCAAAGGGTATAACTAGGACAGGTTGGGATGTTCCCTAATCATTCATCCTATGCCGCTAGTTAGTTAGCTTCCTTCCCACAGGAACGTCAGACAAATTTCTTCTGAGGTAAGCCTGCGATGATTCAACAACCCATTAAGTGCAAACGGTCCGTGTGCCTCATTTAGAAAGTGGAGGAGATTTGCGTATGGCCACAATCGTGCCAGTTAGTGATGAAGGATTTCAGTGTCCAGAATTATTTTTGCTGGGCTGGCTTGACGGGAAAGTCACCCGCTTAAGGAGGGCGGTAGGGAAGAGCAGCAAAGAGGGAACATTAAAAGCAAAACGAATGGGGAGTCAAGGTTGGGGAAGAAATAATTACACAGCCTTATCTTGCTGCAAATCCCTTCCCTGGACCAAATTTGTGGCCGGCTCATCTTTTCACTCAAGTTTAAAAAGCAAAGGACACCATTACCTACAACTGCATCGCTAAGCAAGGATATTATTATTTTTTTAGGTCAGCTTTCCCAGCTTGGTGCTGTTTCTTGAGAATTGGAGGGCAAGGCTCACAATTCCCAACCAACTTTTGTGCACTCTATCTAACCTGCTGGAAATTGTAGGAAGCTGACAATGGGATGTCATTGGAAAAGGTGTGTGTGGGGTGGGTGAGTGTTGGGTGGATTTTAAAGATGAGGACGAGCTGGAAGGTTTCCAACCAGTAGATGACTCCCTTCTTACCCTTAGAGGGTAGATTCCTGGAATTTATCCCTACATTAGCCGATAACCCGGGTATTTATTTATAGGGGGAAATGTCCGGACCAAATGTAATTTCTATATACTTATAAGTATAAGTTCTAATTTCCCCCTTACCAGAAGTACTCCCTTGTGGAGTACTTTGAAGCTGTTACCATGGCAACTCCATTGTGTTGTACAGTAGAAGCCATTTTACAGCAGTACAGTAGACGCCATTTCAAGGCACAACAGGCTGTATCATAACAGAACACACACCCCAAGGGGTGTTAGGGGTGTCTTATCCCCACAGTATTTTTCTCCAAAGGATAAGTCATCTGTGTACCAAGTTTTTGGGGGGCATCAACAGACCCAGGATAGATAGTCCTCAACTTATGACCACAATTAAACCCAAAATTTCTACTGCTAAGCAACCCAACTATTAAGTGAGCTTTGCCTCATTTTACAAACTTTCTTGTCACAGTTGTTAAGCCAATTACCCCAGTGGTTAAGCTAGTAGCCCAGTTGTTAAGTGAATCTGACTTCCCCATTGACTTTGCTTGTCACAAGGCTGCAAAAGGAGATCACATGACCCTGGGATTCTGCAACTGTCATAAATATGAGCCAGTTGCCTCATAAGCGGCCTGAATTTTGATCGTGTGACCATGAGGATGTTACAAGGGTTGTAAAAGTGAAAAGTGGCCATAAGTCACTTTTTCCGGTGGCGTCGTAACTTCAAACACTCATTAAATGAAAGATTGAAAGGTCGAGGACTACCCGTAATGGGGAAATGCTAGCCGGAGAAGGAAGCGAAGAGAATGAAATTGCTTGTGGGAATAAAGAGAAGGAAAAGGAAGTTTACCAAGTAAGAACATCCCGCTACCCAGGGGTGAAATGCTACCGGTTCAGCTGAACCAGTAGCAAAATATGCTACCGGTTTGCCCGAAACAGTAGTAAAAAAATGCTACTGCTTCAGGCAAACCAGTAGTTCCGTCAAACAGCTGTGCAACAATCAGCTGCGCCGCATGATTAGGAATCGCATGGCACAACTGATCGTTGCACTGCTGATCATCGGAACTACTGGTTTGCTAGAACCGGTAGCACATTTTTTACTACCGATTCAGGAGGTGCACATATGCACACAAAGTGAACCAGTAGCAGACTTCAGAGTCTTTTACCCCTGCCCCTACCCCCCCCCCCAATTTCTGTGCTTAGAGAACTGGAGCTGATTTGCCTCCTTTTGGCCTCTCCATCCTAAGGCAGCAGTTGTGTTAAAACTGGCCTCAGCAGCCATTTTGTCCTTGTTCAGCTCAGGCACACAATGATGGCTTCTCCCAAAGAAAGCCTGACCTCCTGAAACCTGAAACCTGGTTAGTTGAAAAGCCTAGCAGTTCCTTTTCTGGCGCTACCTTGGCAACCCCCAGCGGTCCCTGGGAAACTTACAGCGTCTGATAAGTGTTGTCCTTCGAGCGGAGGAACTTCACAACAAAGAAGGCAACTGCTTGGATGCTGAGCACCAGGACGATCCCTCCAATGAAGCTGGCAGAGTCGAAGCCGGCCGGGTAGAACTCGGGTGGGAGGGTTTCTGGTGAGCCAGTGGTCGAGCCTAGAGGGAACCAAGACAAGAGACTGAGAAGAAACAAAGCAAGGAAGCTCATGTTGGACTTTACCCCAAACTTTATTGCAGATGCTGGGTGGAAATGATGGGAGATGAAATATCCGTCTGCTTTCAAGGACATGAGAACGTGGGAAGTTTAGATTAGATTAGATTGGGTTGGATTGGATTGGATTGGATTGGATTGGATCGGACTGGACTGGACTAGACTAGATTAGATTAGATTAGGTTGGGTTGGGTTGGGTTGGGTTGGACTGGACTGGACTAGACCAGACTAGGTTACATTAGGTTGGGTTGGGTCGGACTGAACTAGACTAGACTAGATTAGATTAGACTAGGTTATGTTGGGTTGGATCGGACTGGACTGGACTAGACTAGACTAGATTAGATCAGGTTGGGTTGGGTTGGATCGGACTGGACTGGACTGGACTAGACTAAACTAGACTAGACTAGATTAGATTAGGTTGGGTTAGGTTGAGTCGGACTGGACTGGACTAGACTAGACTAGGTTAGGTTAGGTTAGGTTGGGTTGGGTTGGGTTGGGTCGGACTGGACTGGACTGGACTAGACTAGACTAGACTAGATTAGATTAGGTTGGGTTGGGTTGGGTCAGACTGGACTAGACTAGACTAGATTAGATTAGACTAGGTTATGTTGGGTTGGGTTGGATCGGACTGGACTGGACTAAACTAGACTAGACTAGATTAACAAAGTTGGAAGGGACCTTGTACTGTAGGTCTTCCAGCCCAACCACCGCCCAAGCAGGAGACCCTACACCATTTCTGACAAATGGCCATCCAATCTCTTCTTGTAGGCCTCTAATGATGAATCTCCCACAACTTCCAAAGGCAATTTCTGTTCCATTGGTTGATTGCTCTCACTGTCAGAAAGTTCCTCCTTATTTCTAGGTTGAATCTCTCCTTGGTCAGTTTCCATCCATTATTCCTTGTCTGGTCTTCAGGTGCTTTGGAAAATAGCTGGACCCCCCCCCCCCCATCCTCTCTGTGGCAGCCCCTCAAATATTGGAACACTGCTAGCATGCCTCCCCTGGTCCTTCTCTTTCCTAGCCTAGCCATGCCCAGTTCCTGCAACCGTTCATCGTATGTTTTAGCCTCCAGTCCCCTAATCA